AAAAAAAAAAAAAAAAAGACCCGAAAAACCTCTTGTTATGTGGGTTATAACTACTGATATTATACTAGAACTTGAAAATGATTTGGCAAATGCCTGTGATTCCAGCATTCTGGGAGGCTGAGGCAGGAAGATCAAAAGCTGTGGCCCAGCCTGAGCAACTTAAGAACCTGCCTCAAAAACTAAAAAGGTGGGGTGACCTAGCTCTGTGTGCAGCCCTGTAGTCCGTGCACTGGGGCAGAAACCTTGTGCTACCTGGGGAGACTGTGTTTTGATAAAAAAAAAAAAAAAAAGAGAGAGAAATGCACACACCGCATTCCTTAGGTGCGCCATGGTGTCAATATCCAGTGTATCTTCTGGAAAACTCCACCGTGCGTTGAGAATTACAACCACAAAGGCAAATCCTACCTTGTTCAAAAGCCTGGATCTCGTAGTCCCTGACACAGTCTTGGGGCAGAGACCACACTTGGAAAGCGGCTCTAGGCCCGGATCCTCGCTTGCCCGCCCCCGTCCACGGTGCTGGACCACTGCCTACCTCTCTAGCCCAGCTGGGTCCGGGCTCACCCTCCCTGGGCTGCAGACTGTGCGGGCCTCGCCTCTCCCCTGTAGTCCTCCCGCAGCGGCTAGCCACAGTCGTATTTACGCGATCCTGCGCGACGCCGTTAAACGCGAGGGAATAAAGTTGTGGCCCAGTGCTTCCGAGCGTAACTCTCATTCCATCCCTTCCTAAGCCCAACGAACCTCCGGACATCTCTGCTCCCGCTACTCCCGATTTCCCCCGCCTCGGGGACATCGATTCCCGTCGGAACGGTGGCGGGAAAGGCGGGCGTCCCGCAGCGAGGGAATCGGCCTCAGGCAGCGCGCTCTCCCGGGCAACAGGAAACCCAGCGCTCCGGCCACCGCGCCGGAAACCCGGAGCCTTGCGGAGCCCGAAGCGGGGACTTCCTGCCACGCCCCCTGACGGGTGGGCGGGGCGCGTGGTCTTCAGAAAACCTGGAACGGATTCGGTCCGCTGCACTCGAGGGCTGGGGCCGGGGCAGTCACCCAGTCTGCCAGGGCTGGGGGTCCCCTCTACATAAAGCGCCTCCCGCGAGTTTTAGCCTTGTTCTTGGGAAGAGAAGTCAAATTCTGCTCCTGCCTTGTCCCGGAGCGTGCAGCTTTAGGGTTTTTTCTTTTTTATTGAGTCAAGCACTAGCTACATAGCCCAGCTGGCCTTGAACTCGTGACCATCCTGCCTCAGCCTCTCGAGTGCTGGGACTACAGGCGTGCGCCACCACGCCTGGCTTGGAATCTTGACTCCAGTTTAGTGCGGGCGATATGGGCTACAAAAATCCCACAGCGGGGCGCCGGGAAGCAGTGGCAGTCGGGGCAGAGTCCCCAAGGCCCGACCTCTGGCTGTCCAGCGCTCTCCGAGTCCGCGGCCCTGGCTCCTGTCCTCACTTCCTTCCCCTTTTGCCTCCTGCACTCCGAGCGGGCGGACGCGGGGGGAGCGGAAAGGGCGGGAGGGCCCTGGAGCTGGGGGGGGCAGGGTGCGGAAAA